ACACAGATCTTAATGGGAATAGTTTTTTGTGTGATTTTAAATACATATTTTTTCAAGATGATATCCAATAGCGAGAAAATCTTTTGATATTTTATTGTATATGATCGTTCAATTAACTCACATAAAGTTGATATTAATATTGAACAAACATTATAATTAATTGAATCATCTATTTGTTGATGATCTAATTGTCCATCTTTCACGAGATCAGATTTGACAAATTATATGCAGTAAGCAATACAACTTTTGGAAGGTCTATCTAATGGAATAAATAAATACTTGAAATTAGACATTTGAAAGTATTCTGTTTCGAATACTACGAGTATGCAGGCATTTGATATTCATTAGCATGAATATTTTTATTGAACAATTGGTAAATACTATAGTAGTTTATCTTTGATTCTGACAGATTTCGGAGATTCAGGATTTCTGGTTTAGGAAGCATCAAAGCGTAGTTTGCACAAAACTCAAGCCTATCTAATAATTATTGTAATTCATTAAGATTCATCTTCATCTTAACAGAGCAACTATCTACTTTTCAACTGACCTTTTTAGAATTCGTGTTCGATGAATACTACCCATCTGAAAAATAATACGACAATTTTTCAGCAAAATTATTTCACTCAACATTCGTCGACTTCGTATTGGATAACTGTGTGGTTTATCCAAGAGAAAGTCCTTTAATTTCAACTTCACAATTTGATTCGAAAGTAAGAATGGTAAGGAAATCTGCAGTTACATATAATAAATATTCTTTTAATTCTTTACTTATAGTCGTGAATAAAATACCGGGTTTTTAAACTGGTTTACTAACGATCTTCGACAGTTCTTTTGTTGTGTATCTAAATGAACAAATAAGATCAAATAGTTCCTTCTTTTCATCAGTTGTTAATCTTCTAGTTTAAATTTATTGAAAAGGAAAAAAATCTAAGTTCATCTTTTATGTTCTTGTCATCAACAATTTTTAATTTTGCTTGGTGTACAAGAAAAATTAAACATTGATTTGTTGAACTTCATTTATCAGGACAGTTGTTTTCTCTTTAACGTTCTCAGCCCATTGAGCTTTCGTTTTGAAGCCTGCTATAAGTTCTTTTGTAATGTCCGTCAAGAATTGCTGATGTTCCATCACCTTTAGTAATACATTTGAACTGGAATTCTAAAGAGAAAGAAAAAGAATGTATTTAAATGGAATGACAAAAAATTATCTAATTGAATTTTTAAAGAATACCAAAACTGTGTCAGTAGTTTGGACTGCCATGGAAAGAATAACGAAAGTTGATGTACACACAGAATGACCAGTAGAATAAAAATGAAGTGGAAATATTTTTTCTTATTCAATGACGAGAAAGAAGAAAAAGATTCAGCCGGCTAATATGATCAGGCAGAAATAAAGTGTATATTTCTTTTTCTATCTACTCATGACCATTGGCTATTTAGAAACAATGTGATAGAGGCGCTTTTGTTTATAGACACAAAGAACAACCGCCTAACTCTCTTTGATAACTTGTCGAATCAAATAAAAAAAATTATATTTCGAAGAACTAAGAAAAAATATAAATACCAATGAATCCTCATCGAACTGAAGCATATTTTCAGATTCAACGGAGTTTTCTTATTTAGATTGATAGCAGTAATAACAATCAACTTACTAGTTGAGTTCGAGCACTTGCTTGTTGACCTTGAGATGGAATGATTCGATTATTATTGTTATTTGGTCGTTGATAATGACTAGCTTTTGCGCAGCCAAGTCTGAAAAACAATGGTACTATCAAGTTAATCAATTTAACAATATAGAATAATTTAGTTACACTTGCGATTGATGCTCGTAAACGATACCACAGGAATATGTATACATTTTAATGAGAAGATACTTGGATCAGTTGATTAAACAAATATCTACAGTAAAAAAATAAAATGCATTTGTCTCCTATCAACTATGTATAAGTGATACTGTGTGTTCGAATAAAGTATTCAAACCTCAAATCTATTGAAAGAATATCGATGGATAGATTATCAAAAGTATACGATATGTTTTCAGATAAAATATTTCTTCATTTTCAACTCACTAGAAAGTACTAGACGGGTCGGAAACTTTCCATCATGGTTTGAATTCTATATTCTGTTAGATTCTAATGCTCCAACAATCACAAGATAATTCATGTTTTTTATTTTCTCTTTTGTTGACAAAAAAAAACCTTGGACAGTACAAGCGTGTGATCGCAATACCGATTAAATAGATAAAATGAACTGGTACAAACCTAAATACACGTGTAAATATAGTAAAGAGAAGAAAAGAGAAAGGCTAAGAGATGTTTGCGTAACCCAACAAGATAGACTATACTAGATATAGAGAGATAAAGAAAAAAATAAAATAACTTGGATAAGACGAAATAGCATATATATGTATAGAGAAAGAAGGAGAAAACTACCGTAGAATAAAAAAGAATAAAGTATCACAGACTAACAGAATCAATAAACGAATGGTCAACCACGTGACATATATAACAAGCTGAGTGACCAATACATAATATGTTTGTTCGAAATATGAAATCGACATTTTGATTTCTATTCCTATTTTCGAGTAGATAGAAAATATTAACTAGGTTCAAATATTGGTTAGGATTTGAAAAGCGAAAAAAAATATTCTTTCTCAAGTTTGTTAGTTATCCCTAGTGAATGTACTGAGCTAAGGGTATCCGAAAAAGTACCCTGCTACTTGTATGTCACAGGAACTTTCGGGTACTGAAGTACCTTAAAGTACTTTCAGGTACTTATAAGGTACTCGACCAAGTACCCTGCTGGAAAGCATTCGGTAAATGGGTACTTGAAGGTACTGATCAAGTACCCAACTGGGTACTAATGTTCAGTAATTTTGGGTACCCTGTTGTCAAACTTGCAGTACGTTGATGATCGAAACTAATCTCTCGCTTTTTTTTCATTTTTGTTTCTCTCAAAGCTATTTATGATATTTTCTCGATTTTATTTTATTTTATTTTTCTAATTCTGAAAAGCCAAGCAGGTCAAATTTCGAGATCTGACCGGACGCGAATTGGTCGGATCTCCATTAGACCACTTCAAGGTAGTCCTCTCTCAATCTACGATTGAGATCAGCATGTCCTCGACTAGTAAATAGTCAAGAAAAATAATCTAGAAAAAATTAGTATGAAAAAATATTTTTCTCTTATGCTTCCTCGAGTTGCCTACATGAAGCCGTCTATGCAAAAGAAAACGGTGAATGAACAGTTGCTACACAGAACGCAACAAATCTAGGGTACCTTGTAGAGCTTTTCCTAGTAAAATTACAGGTGCGGGTACTCATGCAAGTACTTGTTCAATAAACATACTGCAATGGGTACCCAATGCAGCACCTACGTCAGTATAGTTACTGAAAATTTTCGAAGTACCCATATCGGGTACCCTGCTGAGGCTTTCTTAGTACATGGGTACCCTGAACTCAGTACTTTCTCTAGGGATTGTCGATATTCTATAAGACGCCATTGACGACATGTATCAACTTGTTTTAATCAATAATCTAAATCAAATTTATTTGTTGATAAACATGAATTACTCATATCGGATTTTGACAATGATGAAGGACGACATAAACGTGCACGAACTTTCCAAACTAGATAAATGATGACAAATAATAATATACCTAAATAATATCATTCTATGATTAAATAGAGATGATAATTTATTTAGAAAAAAAAGAGAAATT